TATATATATATATATATATATATATATATATATATATATATATATATATATATATATATATATATATATATATATACAGTTGAACAACTGTCCTTTGCGACAAGTTGAAAAGTAAAATAGTGAATTAAAATATTTTCCTTAATCCATAGATACTTAATTAAGAACGAAGAAGAAGCAGACGCTTGTTTTTTTTTTTACGTTTTTATTTATTTTATTTTGAAAATTGAAAATTTGACACTTACTCTATTTAAGCCTGTATCTGTCAATTAGCAGTAAAATATTTTGTTTCCAAATTAAAAACTTACAGTTATAATACTCTTGTGTTGAAAAAAATAATTCTTGACATACACAGTTTTAAATGCAATATTTCTAGCTCGTCATGGTTGACTTGAATTCTATTAGTGATTTCAATGAGGTTAGCAAGCACCTTACACAGTGTCACAAATGGAATTGGAATACACTTAAATTTAGGTCAAGTTCTGTCCGGAACAGGTTATATCTGCCCCAGTTTCCTTTCTATTGTGTACTTTCATTTAGTTCGCCTTTTTTTCTACTAGGTTCTTTTTTATTTGAAAATGTTTATTAAAAATGAATTTGAAAAACACATTTATCTATTGCACTATTGCACTGTAAATAACACCCTCCTTACGAATATTGAGTGTAGGGGAGACCACTTCTGCTTTATTTATTGTTTTAATAATAACAGCTGTTAGAAAATGCTGGTTCCGTAGATTTGTTATTTAAAATTAAACTATAATTTTATAATATAGGCCTACGAGCTAACTGGCAGCAGCAGGCAAAAAGGTTTGAAAATGTGGTTCAATGGTTTGGAAATGTCGATCTGTACACATGATAGATGATCACATTGTTTTGTAGAGCGGTGTCTTTTTCTTTCGTTTATGTTCTCTAAACTAGGCATAATAAAGTCATTTACCTATTCATGGTTAAGTTGCTATTGCAATTACTTGTGAAAGTTGTACCAGAAAAGGCACAACACATTGTTCAACAATAAGCATAGTTATCTTCCACGTCATCGGTCTACCATGACAACGGATGTTAGAATACACAGACGGCGATCGGGCTCATTAATCATTATCATTCGTTGTGGACTCCTTGTTGGGGCATAGGGATGCAAACGCAACTATTATTTTACTCTGAGTTGGGTCGACATTATGTTGCTGATTTTTTTTTTAATAATTGATTATCATGTTTTGCGGAAGATATATCTTAATTCGTGCGCGTATGACGTCAATGTACTTCGCGTAAATATTAGACATAAATATTAGCAGTTGAAACTATTCAGCTAAATTTTATTTCACAATGCATTGTTTGTCCCCCAAAAAAGTTTACAAGCAACCGGTCCGATAGCAGTAAACGTTTTTAAGAAAAAGAAATAACCGTAAAAGTAAAATGCCGTGATGCAGAGAGAATTATTAAAAACAAAATAAAACACTCCCAATAATAAATGAAATTAAAAAAAGAAGATTATTCTTTGAAAATCTGAGAAAAGTGGAGGAAGATATTTTTAAAATGCGTGGATTACACGGGAAGATATCAAGAATTATTTCAAATTGAAACTGGATTGCATGAAAAAACCGTTTATAAATCGATTAACCTTTTTTTAAAAAAGAAATCAATTGTTTTTTTTATATATTTTATATATTTTTTATTCATAAAAACAATATAATGAAAATTAGATTTTTAATCATTAGATCCAAATATATGCAAATCATCAAGACACATTGGGAAGATAAAATAGAGAAGGCAATATGCCCAAACCTTTAGTTTTTACTAATGTGAATGAAATTCTACTGACGAAACCAATTCGAACTCGAGACTTTTGGGTTATCAGTCTAGCTACCGCTAGGCCACAATGTTCCATTAATTATATCTAGCTATTTTATGTTTAGATTATAAAATGACTTTTTACTGCTGTAATTGTTCCAAGAATCACGATTCAGAATATTATAAATCATACAAGGGTGCCAGTCCAGTCTCACGTGCTTTGCCGCACCCGCCTCCTCTCCAGCTACACCTCTGAGTGATTCTAAAATCAGTCCGAGGGCCGCATTAACTATCAAATATCAGTTTGGGGCCAGTTTCTTTAAGGCATCTCTTCGGGGTGGTGGCGCCCCCCCCCCCCCCCCCCAACAAAAGAAAATTTATATAGAAATATATACACATTTTAAGTGTCCACCCCCATCTCCCCCCCCCCCCTCCCCCGTAGTAAAAAGTCTGGAAGAAACACTTTCGGGGGTCGACAACACACTCGAGGTCCAAGTTTGCTCTGCTCTCAAATTATTCTTAACGTATATCATTCTTGAAAATATTTGTTCACACAGATATGTTGTTCCAAAATTTAAAAGGTATTTTGATGCAGAAGTTTTAATATTAGGAAAGTCTTCCTTGTGGAAAAACTTATGAAAACCCATCCGCTCTTCTTTGAACGTGTCTCTAAGGAAGTCATTTTCTGCCAATTCAATGATCTCCCGCTGCAGTT